CCACCCACCTGACACTAAATCTGATGTGTTTGTCATGCCAGGAAAAAGGCATCTTTTTACCCAGCACTTTCTTGTAATGTTTATCTTTCAGCTTTGCTAGTTTCACTTGCCATGCCGCTAACCAGCATTTTATTGATTTTGGAACTGGTTTTAGGCAATGTTGCTGTCTGGCCTTTAGGCGATTGACTATTTCAAGTTTTCTAATCGGATTACTGCCATGCTGCTTGGCATGTTTTATGGCTCTATATTATTTTTTGTACTTTTGATTTATTTATTTGCATTTATATCCCGCCCTCCCCGCGAGCGGGCTCATGTTTTATGTTAGCTGCTTGCACATCAGAGAAAGCTTGAAAGTGTGGGGCAGGCAGATCTGGATTGGGGCATTCTTTGGGGGGAAGGAAGCCAATGCACAATCCCCACCCCTCTTCCCAGGGATGATATATGAAGCAGAGTGCAGGGGGTTGGACTAGATGACCTGCAAGGTCCCTTCCAACTCTAACATTCTATGATTCTATGATTCAAATCAACACCAATCCACGTAGCCCATTATGTCCCGGCATGCACACTAAATCCACACAGGCACACAGCAGACATGATGGGCCTCACCATGGTTCTGGGTAAACCGAAGATGCTCCCTAGAACACATCCAACACTCCCCTTTGACTGCCCATTAGATGAGACTGGCAATGGTGGACTTTCAGCAAAGCATGCTTTCCATTACTGACCTTCTTATTAAGGAACCCCCAGATATGCATCCAAGGAAACCCCAGGATTCTGTGGAATACAGGGAGCTTATCAATACAAAGGAAACATTCTACCCCGAGGGTGTCCAATTTACCTCGCTTGAACTCCTCCAGCACAGCATCCAGCTTAGTGTCATTGAAGACAAAGTGAAGCGGGTGGTTGTAGAACTTGATGATGGTGCTGAGAGGGGTGCAGTCATCAGGGTCAACCATAGTCAGGTCCTTGACGTAAAGCATGTCCACCAGGTTGGTGCGCTCATCTTCATAGACAGGGATGCGAGTGTAGCCGCTCTGCATGATCACTGACATGTTGTTGAAGTCCAGCACAGCATTTGCATTCAGCATGAAACACTCATCCAACGGCGTCAGCACATCCTCAACTGTCTTGTTGCGCAGGGCACCCTTGCTGAACTCCTCCCGCACAAACTCATTGTACGGGTCACTGTTGCGCACCATGTCCAGGATCTTCTCCCGCAGGAGGCATGTGCTGGTGTCATGGTGCAAAGCCAGTTCCAGCACCTTGCTGAGTGGTAGTGAGATGGGGAAGGTGAGAAGCATGAAGAGCTGGGTGAGCCAGAGCCCACGGGGGGCCAACAAAAGTCCCCACCGCGAACTGATGGTGAAAGGCAGCACCTCAGCTAAAAGAAAGACCAAAGCTGCCACACCTAGGATAGCGGGCACCAACATCCCCACCGCTCTGTAGAAAAGCACTGCCAAGGCAGCATTGGCTAAGGAGCTCAGGAGCAGCAGAGAGCAAAGGACAAACGTCCCGCGTTGTCTGACAGTCTCCAGAACTTTGGAAGCCTCTCGCTCAGATTCTGAACCACAGTCCCGCAGCACGTACAGTTCCACTGGATCCAGCCACAAAGTGCTGAGCTGCAAAGCCCGGAGCAAGGCCAAGAAAGCTAGCAGTAAGGCCACAAGGGTCCCCAGAAGCCAGGGTGCCAAGGGAGGGGGCAAGGCCACAGCTGCCACCCTCCCACCCCCACCTTCATCTTCTGTCACCAAGATAGCATCCCCAGGGGCAGCTGCAGCCCACTGGTTCCCAGGCCCTGCCAGGCTACAAAGATGATACTGGCCCTGGGTGCCCCCAGAGGCCACCTTCACTGTCACCAGCACTGCATATTCCCCAACGGGCAGGATATCGTGCAAAAGCAATTCAGGGGCACCAGCAAGGGAGGGTGTGGAGGAAGGACCCCCTTCAGCAACTGCACAGGAGTTTCCCAGTGGCACGAAGGCCACCCAGGGCCAGCTGAGGTTGCTGAGGCCAGTACCATAAAGGCGCAGGCGGAAGGTAGTCCCTGGGGTAGCCTTAATCAGGCTACCACTCGCCAAGGCTCCCTCCTCCAGGCAGAAGCCCAGCACCTTCGGGTGGGGGGATCCAGGCTCCTGGGGGGTCCTGGCCTCTGGGGTCTGGGGAGCCCAGGTCTCCAGGGGGGGACTGGAGCGCTGAGAGGCCTTGTCAGCTGAGTCCTCCCCTTGCACTACTACACAGCCCAACCACAACGCAGCAGCCCAACCTAGCAGCGACGCCAGCAAACTGCAATTGCCCACCATTGCCAGAGCCAGCAGCTGCTAGAGCTGCAGCAGCAAAAGGCAGCTACTAGGGGGAGTGGACTGGGCAAAGGAAGGTCAGCTGACTCCCCTTCTGGCGCCGTCAAACATGGCTGTAGGCCCTTCGGCCAATGCGAGAAAGGGGCTGGCGGTCTCTATCCAATGGGCACGGGCGAGGGCGGGGCCAAGAAAGGGAAAAAGTGCAAGTTCGGTGGCGCCGCGTTATAAACAAGGCGGAGGCGGGGGGAACAGGGGCGGAGGGGGTTGCCTCTTAAAGGAACATCGTCCTTCCATTGTCATGCTCGAAAGCATCATTTCCACTCTAAAGTGGAATTTCTACCCGGGTAAACATACGACTAGGGTCTAACTGTCGGGGAATCCACGGCTTTCCGTCGGTTTGCGATAGGGAGGGTGGTAAACCATTTCCATGCAGCTAGATCATATTTCCATTCTTGCTTATGAGTAAGTCTGACGAGCTTTACTGGGGATTTCTCCAAAAACAGGTTTTCATAGGATTACCCTGAAGCATCCCAAGTGCATGTATTTTTATTCTGAAGCAAATCCCACTGATTTCAATGGGACTTGCTGAGAAGTGAGCGTAGAATTATCACCTAAGCCTGCTATTGTATACACATGTACTTGGGTGTAAAGTCCATTAAACTCAGTGGGAGTTACTCCCGAAAAATTAAGGTTGTTTGAGGAGTCATAAATCCCTGGAGATTTGGGGGTGGACTATAAAGCCATAGACAGAGTCCACTCTCCGAAGCTACCCTTTTCTCCAGAGAAACTATTCTCTGTAGTCTGGAGATGAGTTTTATTTATTTATTTATTTATTTATTTATTTTTATGAGATTTGTATCCGGCCTCCCCGCATAGTGGGCTCAGCCTCAGGGTGGGTTCCATCAAATATAATATACAAATAATTAAAACCAGTTAAAATACAACAGATAAAATACAGCGCAGTTCCTATATATCCCACCAGAGCCGCAACAGATTTAATCTGTTGTAATTCTGGGAGATGTTGACAACCCTACTAAGGAGTACATTTCACAGCACATTGTGCAAGGAAGCATATATAACAGACTCTCTCCTATTGGCTATTGCTAACGCATCCTCTATAAACACTATTATCGCCACATTATCGCCAGCAATCAAGTGTTAAGTCACTAACTGCAATCCAATGCAGTTACCCCAGTTTAAGCTCATGGAAGTCAGTAGACTGAGGCTGGAGTAACTCAGCACAGTATTGCTCTGCAAGTGATGTCCATTCATGTGTGAACCATTTCCACCCCCTTTTTTTGTCCATCAAATCACAACTGACTTATGGCAACCCAATAGGGTTTTCAAGGCAAGAGACTTTCAGAGATGGGTTGCCATTGTCTGCCTCTGCATAGCAAACCTGGTATTCCTTGGTGGTCTCCCAACCAAATACTAACCAGGGCTGACCCCGTTTAGCTTTTGAGATCTGTCCAGATCGGTCTCTCCTGGACTATACAGGTCAGGGCAGGTTACTGCTTGTGCTTGGGAGTACACAAACAAGCGCAGAGATTTTCCAGCTACTGTCAACAGCATAAATCCTGAAAGGGAGGGGCTGGGGGGCCTGTTTAGTGCCTTGGTAGGACTAAATGGAGCAGAAATAGTAACAACAAGGGACTTTGACACTCAGTCCTCTGCTTTGCAAAGAAGAAAAAGTGTATACATCATATAAGGTCCCTACTGGGTTAAACTGGTTCCATAGTTTCCCAGTCAAGTTCATGACCATTTCTTTTGCTTATTTGTTTATACTGCATATTCCTTTTGCATGGGGACCCAAAAAGGCTTATGATATCATTTTCCCCGCTTCCATTTTATCCTCACAAAAAACCTGTGAGGTAGGTTTGGCTGAGAAAGAGTGACGGGCCTAAGTTCACTCTGGGAACTTCGTGGCAGAGTGGGGGATCGGATCTGAACCTGGCTGTCCCAGAATCTAATCACTACACAGTGCTGGTTCTGCATATGGTTAGACAAGCAAAATAAAGGTTGACACTTGAATTCAGTATGGCAGACCCCCAAATGGGCCAGCCCACTCCTGGGGACATTGCCAGAGAACCTGATTTATATTTCTTGGACCACACAAACCATATCTCTAGTGCGGGATGTTGACAGACTGACAGTGCAATCCTATGCTGAATTAACCTAGTCTACCTAGTCTAAAACCATTGAAATCTGCACAGGATTGCACTCGGAGTGGCTCTTGTTCTCTCTAGCCACCAGTGCCAAAGGCACAAGTCCTTTTATTTAAGAGTTGACTATTGGACTTCTCTTAATAATATTACTAGAGTTTTTAAAAAGCATTCAGCAATTGGATTGAGTTATTCAAAAACAGCTGCTGGGATTTTTGTAAAACCCCTCTCTCCAGAAATGGGCACAGCTGAATGGCATCGTAATGATATTTTAAAAGCCTGAACTTTAGGTTTTAGGTTCTAAGCAACGTGAGATATAAATACAGCAAATGAAGCGGCTATATACTGAACCAGGTCTATCAAGGTCCATATTGACTCCTCAGACTGGCAGAAGCCATCCAGGGTCTCAGGTGGAAGTCTTTCATATCGCCTACTACCAGACTCCTTTAACTGGAAATTCTGGAGCGTGAGCCTAGGACCCTCACAAATACATGTTTGGTATCTCAATTTTTAAAAAAGTTTGTGGATGTTGCATTTCCCACTTTTACCAATTACAAAGAGAATGCTAAAGCATGGAGGGGGAGAGGCCTGGCAAACATTGCATACATTTTTCAAAAATGTCGTTACAGTGATGGATCTAGGAGTATGATTCTTTCTTACATGTAAGAGGTCCCGGGTTCAAATTCTGAGTAAACACTGCTTGGCGGCAGGGGTTGCTTGCAGTAGGGTGGTTGTACCTTTTGGATTTGGGCAGGTTTGTGTGCCAGAGCTTGAGCGCATGCTTTGTAGGTGGTCCCAGTCTTTCCCATCTCCAGTAAAAACAAGGATCTTCTCAAGCAGCAAGGAAAGGATGTGCCTCTGCTTGAGACCTTCAATAGCAAGACAGAGTAGACAACAAAGGGCCAGATGATCCAATAGCCTGATTCAGCATCAAACAGCCTCAAGTGTTCCTCAACCAGCACTTGGAAGGTGGAACAGCTGTCTGGGGTTTGTGGGTGTTGGAAGGTGATGCCTGTAATCCATTCCCTTCTCACTGGTACCTGGGAGGCCAGCAGGGAGTTCTGGACAGCCATACATTGCTGGTGGGCTTGTAAAGGACAGAGTGTATTTAAATATTAATAAATCATAGGGGAAGGATCCGGTATCATTGGGATCTAAATTTTCAGTTGCCTTGACTTGCACACTGAAATGATGCACAGACAAACCAGGGGAATGTTTATCACACCCAGAATCATTGGTTGAGTGCCTCCCTCCTAACTATTTTGGTCTACTACTAGTTGTCATATTTTCAGTTGGATGGTTTCCAGTTTATTTTTGCTTCTTGCTCAGAGCATGCCAAGAGTACAACCTGATAGTTGTCACACCCTGTGTCTATTAAAGTTAGCTTTCAGCACTGGATGCTGACAAAGCAGTCCAAAGACCACATCTTGAGACACCTTTTTTTTTTAAAAAAAACCCCAAAATGAAACAACCCCCCCCTCCCCATCTAGCCCGATGACATGTTCTGGAGGGTGGCAGTCACACACGTGAGATAACGCGGGGTGGGTGGGTGGAAGCAAGGCTATTTGACTCGCAGTTGCGTGATCACAGTCCTTTGAAGCTGCAGGGGCAGCCTGCCACTGCGTGATCAGACACAACCGCGGGTGAGTTGGGTTTTTTTTTTGCCGTTTGTTCCTAATTAAATGGGGAATCGATGAATCACATCTCAGCACTGAGGGCTCCCTATGGAGCGTGAGATGATGTGCATACTGAGAAGGAGGAAAAAACAATGGCATGAAGTCGGGGATGGCCTGATCAGACCATCCTGAAGCCATGAGAGCGCGCTGGAGCGATCAGACAAGGGAAAGTCCGTCCGTGGCCCGTAGCAACCCGTTTGCTACCAGACTTTACCTGGTGTCTTTTTACTCTGCTTCTGTGGTGGAGCAAAATGGGTTGCCGACAGGTGTGGGGCGCTTCCCAGATGTTTGTGTCTGATTGCACTCTTTAAATCCGTCTGGCATTCGCGCCTATGGCGCAGCTAATTGTGCATGTGATCACACCCGAGAACTCAAATGCTAGCCCACTCCATTGCCTTATTTTGGTTGGTCTTAATAAAATATATTATATGCTTTTTGTTGTTGGGTCCTCCTTGTTATATTCTCCATTGTTGAAGGCATTTTCTTGTATGTGTGTAAAGTGCCATCACGTCACAGCTGACTAATGGCAAGCCCAGCAAGGGGCTTTCAAGGCAAGTGAGAAGCAGAGGTGGTTTGCCAGTGCCTTCCTCTGCAGAGCCTTCATTAGTGGTCTCACTTACTCTGCTTAGCTTTTGAAATCTGATGAGATCATACTATGCCACCTTCCCTCCCTGGCATTAGCTTATTGCCTGTATTTGCTTATTGTTCAATGACTCGTTTTATACCAGTTTAAAAACAGATAGTTCCTGTTGTTGTTTAAAGGTGTACTAAACAGAGAACAATATTATCAGCTACTCCAGCTGAACTTCTCCACTTCATTGTGTGAAATGAAAAGCTGGTTACTGCACAGTGGTTTAATATTCATATACATATATTTACATGCATGTATTAAATAGAGGATGCCATTGTGGCTCAGCGGTTAAGATGCTGAGCTGCAGACCAGAAAGTATGTAGCTTGACAGTTCGAGACCCTGGTGCCGCGTGACGGAGTGAGCTCCCATCTCTGGTCCCAGCTCCTACCAACTCAGCAGTTTAACAGCAAGAAATTGCAAGTAGATAAATAGATACTGCTTTGGTGGGAAGGTAACAGCGTTCTGTGCGCCTCGGCATTTAGTCATGCTGCCCACATGACCACGGAAACATCTTCGGACAGCGGTGGCTCTTCGGCTTGGAAACGGAGATTAGCACCACCACCTAGAGTTGGAT